GGGGGGGGGGGGGGGTGTCAGACCCTCTCAGAAGGAACAGAAGTGCGGGGATCGGCCTGCATTTTGCAATTTGGAACTATAAATTTCTGGCTCATCAAAAAAAAAAACACTTATGTGCATAGGGAAACTTGTACGTTGTACTACTACGTTGTTTTTAAACCGGGCCGGAATTTATAGCTCCTAATTGCAAAATGCAGCCCAAGTGTAGTTCTCAAATGAAAACGCCCATCTTTGGATAGAGGTGTCGTCAGCTAAGTTGTCATTTGTTTACTCTCCGTTTGCAAGTGATCGCGATGCAATTGTCCAATAGTGATCGCGATGCAATTGTCCAATAGCGATCGAGGATTGACCGCGGCCCGATTGCGAGCCTGGTCAATCCTCGATCGCTATTGGAAGATTCCATCGCGATGGCTATTCGACGATCCCATCGCGATCACGATTGGACGATTCCATCGCGATCGCGATTGGACGATTCTATCGCGATCACAATTGGGCGATTCCATCGCGATCGCTTGCAAACGGAAAGCAAACAAATGCCAACTTAGCAGACGACACCTCCACCTAAATCGATCGTTCAGAAGATCAAAAAATCTAAGACTTCGCACACCAAAAAAACGTAGGTATCTAAACGGCGGCTGGTTGAAGTTTTGGAATGTTCAACATTCAACTTTATCAGGCCGCCATTTTGAGACGGCGATGTACAGAGACCCGCGGTTTTGCCAATAAGACTTTGATTTTTATGCTCTGTTGTGCGAATGCATCATGAGATGAGATTGTCGAAAAAAGTTTGGCTGAAATGACACCCCTGTGAGACTCGAGGCACCATACAACAAATAGGAAGCTAAAAAGAATTACAGTGGGTCAGTGGCACCAATTTTGTTAATTTTGGTTTTGAAAGCAGAGAATGAACTTATCTTCTGGGAACTTTTTTCAGATTGTTTTAGGTATCTATTAATAGCAAAGAAGCCCCGTTTTGAAAATGCCAAGAAAATGACGTTTGAAACGAAACCTTGGCCGATTGGCCAGATTGGGGGAAATGGCGTTTACTGATTGGCTGTCAGGCATCGCCTATTCAGAGCAGAGTTTTGAGAATTGCTGTAAGAGTACCTTTTTTTCATAGAGCGCTGGCTTCATATAACACTAGGTGTCTTGGGCGAAATGTCATGTCGACGGTGTAAGTCGGCAATCACATAATTCGATTTGCGACGTCGCAGACTTCCTGTCATACTTTATTTTTTAAACTTTTTTTTTTTTATTTTTCTGTGCGAGGAATATTCTGCAAAAAACGACGGTCTGTGCAGATTCCTAAATTCGTCGTCCGCGCTTGCAAACCGAAAGAAGACAAATGCCAACTTATCTAATAGCACATCTACCTACAAATCGCAACGATTAGGTGATTCAGCCCGGGTTTTTGGAGAAGTCAAACTGATTAAAAAAATGAAGTACTTATTCAACGATGGACATTTTAAAACGTAGCAATGAGATAGCAGGTAAGTACATGCTTGGAGTTCAGCGGATCTACGAAATTTAGTAGGGTCGTGGGCAATAAAAGACACCTCACTAGGCGGGGGGAGTCGCCTAGCGTCAAAGCAGGATTGGGAGGGTGGGGGATTTCTCTAAGCTCCAAATCGAGCATAAAACACTAAACAAAGATGAAGGTCTCTTGGAATCATCCGTGTCTTGGTTTCTAAAATTTCTTCATTCCATCATTTATAGAAATAATTTCGCTGATTGAAACCCAGGATGGTCCTTCACTTTCTCCTGACTCCCAAAAAAAAAAAAAAAAAAAAAAAAAAGAAGAAGTAGATAATCCTTTTTGGGTCCAGAGCAAAAGTTGAATTTTCTTGTCGGTTCACGAATTCTTAGTACCTACTAGGTCAACTCTAAAGCTCCAAATTTTAGAATAAAATGGTCTTAGAGCTGAAGAGGAAAAATTTTCAGTTATGAACATTAATGTCAGGACTTGTTCCTTGATTTTACTGGAGAATATTTGTACCCTTATGAAATCTTGGAAATTCTCAGTTTTTGTAGCTCCTGAACACATTATTTTTGATAAAAGATGGGGTAAAGGTAGAGGAGTGAAGAAAATATTAATTAAAGACAGTATTTTTACTGATTTAATAAAAAGTTTCCAAGTTATTTATTATTTTTCTTTTCAAGTTAAAATAATGTATATACATAGACGTACACAGTAATAACTAACAAAACAATTTTTCCCATAATTTTAATTTACAATTTCTTAGATTCAAAAGTCTGAGCAGTCTTCGTTTGTAAAAACAGACGTATTATTTATTTCCTAGCTAAAATTTACAAGGGATTAACTCACGGGGATGAAGTTACAAAAAATATTTAACATGGTCATAGAAAATAATACTTGGAGCATTATTATTTGCTGACAATAAAATAATCAAATTAATCAGAAAAGAACAATAGGTCAATTAAGATCTTAACAGTTTTTGAAAATAGACCAGATGCACTATTAGAAGATACTGTAACTGGTAAATTACAAAATTTTTAATATGATAGGGCACTTATTTCCGGACAGGAATGTGAAAAAGAATTTCAAAGAAACAGGTGAATTTACGATTTTCTTTAGTAAATGCATCACGAATTGTATCTGATTATAATTAAACCAATGATTGAACACCAACATTTTGATAAGAGAGAATAAATATTCACTAAGAAAGAAAGGGCGGATAAAAGTAGGAAAATTACAACTTCTGAATGCATTTTCAAAAACAGGGACAATTTTAAAATACGGTTGGACTTATAGGGCTAAGATAATATAATTTCGGTAGAATTTGAGTATGAAACAATTTGAAATTTTATTTTGGTTACATTTTCCTTAGACCGTTCATTAGACCAATATACTTCGTGTTTCAATAAAAATACCTAATTTTAAAAAAAAATTACACACCCTGACAGACAAGAGTCTGAGTCATTTAGCAAACTTGTTTTGGAGAGTAAACTTCTATCATTGATTTTTTTTTTTTTTTTTTTTTTTCATTTTTCATTATTACATTCGGTGAGAAAATCATTTTAAATGTAATTTAAAGGAGGAGAGTGTCATTTTCACAATCAAAGCCTTGATAATGCATTGGAGAAAACATGGAACAGATGAGACATTTAGAATTTTTCAATTCTTTGGAACCTTCCTTCAATTTTGTTGCCTATTTTATGCATTAAACAAAATTAGAGCTTCATGATCTAGGAATAAAATTCAATACTTAGATTAAAAATTACTTCATTAAACGAATTTCTAAAATTTAGGTACATTTCAATACAAAGAGGACACATGAAAAATCAGACAAAGTTGTTAAGATGTTTTTAATTTAAAAATATGATTGAATCAAGCACATTATTCGGAATGGCTCAGTGATAGAGACCGAATGAACAAGAAATACCTAGAGAGAATACTTCATTGCTTGGTTTACATCTGATTTAACAACTCTCAGACAACAGGGTAGAAATGACAGTTTGATTCAATTTTTTTAAAATATTTTCATTGGTCTAAAACCCTTAGCCCTTTCACATTTTCATAAGAGCCAGTGAGGGCAGGGAAGGAATATATACTTGTTACAGAATTGCCACAGCAACTTAAAAATTAATTCGACCAACTTAGCCCACATGTGTGAAATAATATACTTAAAATAAAAGAGCTAACTGGATATTAATAACTCTCCCAACTGTCACGTAAGCACTCTATTCATCGATCTTCTATCATTACAAGTTGTTTCTGGCTGAAATTTTGGAATTTTGTACTCCCTACTTGAGGCGACCTTGTTGTGACGAAATTAGAGGAATTTCATCCTACTTCAGTAATGCCTAGTTGTATTTGCAGCATTTGGACATTTCAAAAAATAATGGCTGCTAATTGTATTGAAATTTCAACACTTAAATTTAAGCTCCAGGAACAGTTTTAGATGTGAAAAGATAGAGAAACATAAAAACCTAAAAATAACAGATTCGTATCACATTCATTTTAAAAAAACTCAATTTACTCATCTACAAAAATAGTATGTATTAACACAAGCTCTGGTAGTCCTGGTATAACAAAATAAAGCATCTTAATTTTCTCCTACAGATACTGGATTCCAATTTAGTATGAATAAATTGGATGTGTATTTCATGAAAATGTTCACTTATTACTTACAAAGAAGCAAAGTTGTCAATTAAAGGGGCAATAATTTGCTGGATTTCTTGCTGCTCGTAGTCTTCTGGCAGTGGTAACTGCGCTATTAAACTGGCTAGAATGTGACTGGATGCTCCGATATCTCCCGTTTGAAGCATCAATATACTTCTAACGATATGAGCGATGCGCTTGGCGATTTCTGCTTGCATAAGCCTGTCTTTAGCAGAGAATGTAGGTAGATGCTGGACACGAGAGCAGATTGAACTAATCTGAGGTTGAAGCTTTTCCAGTTGATACGCTACCGACGAGTCCTGAGCCGCAATCAAATGGTTCACTTCTCGAACGCAAGTTAAATAGTCACTAATTACCGATCCAAAGTGGTGCCACCCAGATATGTTTGTACTGTTGGTTGCACATTGACTCAACAATGCTTCTAGATTATCATACTTTTCATTGATGATGGCATCGGCTGCTAGGTGCTGCATGATAATCTGATGACTCCGACTCCACTGACTGGATTTAATGAAGTACCATGCAGCTTCATTGTACCTATGAAAAGAGAGCGCCAACGTTGCTTTAGCATCATAAATCCATTCGATGGGTACACCAAGAGTTTCATTGATAAAAACTTCCGTTTTGTTTAATGTCGTTTTACCATCTTCTGATAACGTGACATGTTTGCCAATGATATCCAACACTGCTTGTCTCCGCCGCTGAACGTTTTTCAAATGAAGAAGAACGAAGACAGCCCAATGCCACAGTCCATGACCTTCCAGTTGCATGGCAAAGCTGACATGGATATGTGCTGCCGATAACTCAGATATATGACGGTAACCTAAGGATTCTAGAGTCTCTAATAATAACCAACTTAAACTATAATCTAAAGGATCTGCAGTATAGGTTGCAGGGTTCAGAAGTGACTCTAAGGGATGTGACCGTTGGCTATACAATTTCAGCAAATGGAAGCATACGTCGCTAAACTCCTTTCCTCTAACGATGTCGTAGTCTAATTCTCCGTCTGAGTAATAAGGAACTGGTTTCTCCGCATAGTTCTCTTCACCGCTACAAGCTTTTTCATAGGCTTGTAAGGCTGTTGTTATGGAGTCAGCAGGAGATCCTAAATACCAAAAATGAATGCCTAATGCTCGCTTCCAGTCAAGATTTTGACATACGTTGATGACACCAAAAGAAGATTCAAAGAGTGGGACACCAGCAGTGCACATTGTCAATTTAATTCTATTCTCATCTATCAGCTTATCAGCTTCAGTATCCCGCCATTGCATCAACTGCTTTGAAGCTAAAACTCGGACAGCATTATTACTGCCGACTTGAGATATCAATAAGGATAAGTTGTAGTCTCCTTGTGATATCGCCATTTCACAGGCTTCTAGAATTTTTTTACCCGTCAAAAGGTGAAAGACTGAAGACACTTGCTGCTCATTGACTGTGTCCTTCTTCACACTTGCATGGACAACACTTTGAAGCCACTCGCTAAATGCATGTCTGCGTGCCATTAGACTTGCATGATCTCGTTCATCGTCTTTCGCAGCAAGGTCCGGAAGGTTTCCCCATAAAGCGACGCAAAGTTGCCATATTGATGCAGCATACCTGGTGTCGGTGTAATTTTCACTTTGTTGATCAGCTATTAAACTGTGAGCATGCAATGCTTCAATGCCAGCTACAGGAGAGAACACGGGACAATCGTCTTGCACATCTTGTTTGCTGAATTTCAGTCTCACATCCATGTGACTCTGGATTAGATCCTTAAAAGTTTGAGATGCCGAAGGACTGATGATTTTCAGTTGCTGAACGATTGTTTTGGTGAAGTCGCTCTTTGTTCTGCCAGCAAGCAGATCTCCCAGTTGCTGAAGATCATTGTGCTTTTCAAACGAATCAGCTAATTTGTCTGTTGTCAGGTGAACAAGGTTGAGTTCTTTACCCCAACCAACACGAAAACTTCGACCCATGAATAGGCTCATATCAGAGATGCATTTAGCTTTAATCCGTGCGACACTGGAGAGGTGAAATGGAAGCACTGAATTTGGATGATTTAAGTGGGAGCGCTGAGGTGCGGCAACAATTGGTTGGGACATGAATAGTTTAGTAGAGGTCGTAACTTTTGCACGAGAAGCCAGTTCTTCATCACCTGCTCCAACACTCATGCTAGTTGCAGCTGGCAAAATAGGTTGTTGAACAAACTGCGTTCTAAAGACAGGAAAAGTTTTTGCTGTTAATCTTGCCATCTCTCTTTGGCTTGTATCCATTTCCACCAAGTCATGAGCTCGAGATGTAGGCATGTTGGTAAAGTCCATATAGTCACTATCAATGCTGTAAGCATCATCGTTTTCATCTTGATTCAAGTAAAAAGAGGCTTTCATGAGTTGCACTTTGTGAGAGGAGGTCCCCAGATTGCGGGCAAGTTCAGATGTTGGACTTTTATGAACTTTTTCTTGTGATAAAGCGGAGACTACATCATCGATGTGATAGTTATTTTTTAGGAGCAGTGAGTCATTTTCATCTAGCATATGCTGATCTTCATTTGGCTCAAAAGGATTGTAATGACTCGGCATTTGCATTTGTTTTTTCAGGTGAACGTTGATGCTGGTTCTGCGAGCTTGCTCTAAGGCGGAGAGTGGGTGAACACCACCAATCATTTTTAGTTTTTTCACATCTGCAACTTGATCTTCCTCCTCATCAGAATCGGACAAGCCGTACTTGGAGAAATGATCAACCTTAAACACCCAGGACCCTGTTTGAGGACGGTATTCCACAAAGCGGGTTTTCAATTTGGCACATGCTTTTCGAAGTTTACCCTCGTAGTCCAATTGAACGAGTCTCACAGGGTCACTTATTGGTTGATGAGAAGATTTATCGGTAGGCCAAACTCTATCCAGAGTGATTTGGGCTTTCCTGTTGAGACCTTCTCCAACAGACGGCTTTATGCTTTCATCTGGATAAACCACCACTTCTTTATGCCGGATGTGCACTGGAAAATAAGAAGAAAAAAAGAAAATTAGAGCCAATAACAGCCATTCATGACAAAAATTAGACTAACCCTGAAATATTAAAGAGCTAAGGAAAAATATTCTACAGAGTTTCAATTGCCAAGTTGCTTCTGATAAAATATATATTCTAGGGCTGTGCGATTATTCGCTTAGTCTGACATGCGAATATTCGCGCCGTCTTGAATTGTGAATTTTTGACCCAACATTTTCAAATATTTGCTCTGGAATAACGAATTTTCAAATATTCTCGCCATCAAAAATAACGAATTTCCGAGTGGCAATCATGAAACGTTGCGAGGACCTTCGCAAGGCTTCCATCCAAGATATCGCAAACGACAGATCTCCTTTGATCTTTGCCGACTTTGCCCAGTTTGCGAACAGCGATTGGCCCACAAATCTTGGTTGGGCCAAAGGTACCTCACATTGAAAGTTGAATAACCGAGTCAGAAAATGGGAAAAATTCTTAAACACATTTTCATTAACACAGAAAAAAATAAAATACTAAAAATTTGTCTGGTGATCCTTAAGATACCACCTTGACTACCTGTGCAGTTACCTTTAAATCCTGGGAATGCATACATAACTGTAGGAACAGTCAAGCCAGCATCCAGGGATCTTCAAACACATTCTTAACAACCTAGGCTACTATCATAGCATTTCATTGTTTTCTATGCAGATATATGAGCAAATGAAAAATTCTTAAATAATTGATGACACATGCTTGTTGACTTTAGTAATATTTGCGAATTTTTGCCCTTGAAAAAGTCATTTTAAATTATTCGTTTTACTATTCATATTTGTGATTAATTAACTTAATTATTTGCTATTTGTGAATAATTGGCAAAATTATATGCTTTCGCTTCGTTTGAAAAATTCACTATTCTCACAGCCCTAATATATTCCCTTGAAAACTTAGGGATGTTTTTTCTTTAATTTTCCAACAAAATCTACTTGCTCGGGTAATATAATGTATCTGAAAATTTCAAGGAAAAATATCCATGAGTATTCTCAAAAACGAATATTCAATGGACTGGACTTAAGCAACATTAAAATACTCTGATTTTTAGAGACAATAGGATATTGTAATACCTTTTTGTAACTTTTTGCGGATGAAATTTCTCATCCAGTCTGACAGGGAAATTTTTAAATTATGTTCCTATTACCTGCCTAACACGCACTACAATTTCATACACTTTTTTAAAATATTGTCATTCCTTCTTTACAACTGCTCAGGTAAAAAAGGAGAGGTCTTGACTCCTACTTAAAAACACTGTCCAAATGTTGACTTGCATTTGTGCACAATGGTTTTTCAAAAGCATTATTGAGAGAGTAAGAAGTGGCCAAAATAAAAATAGCATATTACAGCTTTTACTTTCTTACTTTTTTTACATGGATTAATAAGAAGGACTAAGGGGACTCAAAAATTAGCAGGAGAAATTTTTTTTTCAAAACTTTGTTGAACTAAGTCCTTTTTTTGCTCAGTTCTTGGAGGACACAACTCTCCTTCCACTTACCTATGGAATCAATGTCTAGACCAGAGACATCAAATGAGTCCGGATAAAATATGTTTCCATAATTTCTTCGACCGATGGTGAAATTTTCAACTATGCATCTGCCATCTCCGTCAACCAACGGTGTAAGTTCTTCCAATGATGGTATGGTGTAGTAGCCAACTCGGTGTAAGATGATACCAGTAGGATGAGGAGCAGATATGGATCCATCCGATTCATTGTTTTTTGAGGAGTCTGTAAAAGAGACAAAATTGTTGTTTTCATATGAAACACTGAGCACAGCAAGGAGTAAAAAATCTCGAATTTCAAGAAAGGTCACTCAAAAACTACTTCAATTTCAAGTATAATGATAAAGTTTTGTTTCTTGACTGGACATTCAACTCACACATAATGCTAAATAAACCATAATCAAGTTGATTTTCTTGAAATAGGGCCTAAGAGTCTATTGATTCCTTTTGGAGGGGCGTGGGCAAATTGATTTTAAAGTAAAAGGTTTAAGCTAATTGATCTCTTGCCAAAAAAAAATATATATATATATTCCATTCCTGATCTTAAATACTGAGAGGTGTAATTCAACTCCAGGAGCAAAACTGTACTAAGGGGGCATTAGGGTGCGTCAAAAAAAATGAAAGTCTGAAATGTTCCGCTCCCCAGGCGGCAATCGATGACGTTTGGTAAAAAAATATGTTTGCCAAAATTTGGGCCAATTTCAACCATTTTAAATGGTGCCAAAGGTCAATTTTGTGATGAAATTATGATATTTTGGTTTAGACCTCGATTTCGTACAAAAAACTCGATTTTACGCTGAAATCGTGC